CCCCAAAACCCCAAAACCCCAAAACCCCAAAACCCCAAGGTTTGGTGGGCATATTGAAGATAATTACTTTGCATCAGATAGCAGGTCCATAGCTATTTTTAGCTTCTTTTCAAGCAAGGAGATTTCTTTCTCGTCACATCCCTTCTTCTTAGTTCTGTATTTGTAGTAATTACTGGCGAGGTAGGATGAAAGGCCATCCTTGAACTCACCAATATCAGTGTTGGTTTTGATCTTCTCGAACACGGCAGTGATTGTCTTGGCTGCTACCTTAAATTCTCCTCCTGAAGAGGTTCCCTTTGGAGTTGCTATGGCATTATACCAAAAAGTTACTTTTGCTGTAGAAAATCTCGTCCATGACAACATTCAAAAAGAGCCTCTGAAACTTGTTAATCTCATCATAGAAATCAATATACTTCAGCATGTTTATTGGAATGCTTGTCTTGCTACAAAATCGTGATATAAATTACCTAAAAAGATGCCCGTAGATGCGAGCAAGGTTGGCAATCTTTCTGACGCCCAGATCGTCAATGATCTTGAGATAGTCCCACAATGTGTATTTACAGGAGTACTGGAATGTCTTGTCTCCATCACAAAGTTTCTTCAGAATTAAGGCGTAGTACTTGTTGTAAACCTTCTCTTGAACTCAACATTGGATTATGACCTAGAAGTAACACTGCAACTTTACCTTAATGATATCTCTTTCTTGCTTCTTCTTCAATCCAAGCTTCTGAATGTTCTGGAAGGCATCTAAGTAATCTTCACTGCTCATCAAAGTGTAGAAAACACTCTTCTGAATGTCAGTGACGTAATGCTGAGCTTTAGCAGCAGCTTCCAGCTGAGCGAGATAGCTCTTATCAATCTTCTTCTCAATTTCATTAATTTTGAGGCTTGACTCCTGCTTGAGCTTCTCTTCATCAGTAAGCCACCACTTGACTCCATTTTTAGCTGATTCGATAACTTTGAAGTCCACATCAAGAGGGTTCTTGAGGAGTTCAGACTTTACCTGAGAGTTCTTTTTCAACCAAGTTAGCCCATGATTGTTGGTAAACTTCGAGTTAATCTTATTGTTCTTGATATCATTCAATTCTTGTGACAGATAGTTTATTTTCCTCTCAAAGGAAGTTTTCACCTCCTCTTCTTGGTCCTTGGGGGTAGTCTTTGGAGCAGAGATTTCAGCTTCAATCTTTTTGGAGTCAAATAAGAGCATAATGTCTTTACAAAGAGCTGGAGAGTCCTTTCTTAAGATACCTCCAATGTTATGAAGCAAGTTTAGCAACATCTCTAGATCCTTTTCTTTGAAGTTCTTCATCATGTGAACAATCACGTCAAAAATGATTTTATGAGTGACTGATTCAAACAGGTAAAAGTGAGAGAAAATAGAAATAATATTCTTTAACTGCATTTGAGCAAAAGCTATATCACCTTCTCCTGCATGTATCTTCTTATGAGCATCTACGAATAACGTGTGAAGCTCATTGACAATTGGAGCGAAGAAAGATTGTCCAATTAATCTTTGTAGGGCTGTAATTACCAGGCAGTTAACAGAAAGGATAGCTGAGTTCAGAACTCTCGAATCAATACATATCTTCTTGAACACTTCAAAATAAATTCCAGAAATTGTTTCTGGATATGCAATATAATTAGACAAGAATTCATGTATCTTCTTGAAAATGATATCCGTATTTCCATCAGATAATTTATTCAAGCATGACACGATGTTCTTCCTAATTTCATTTCGAACAGTCTCCTCCAGCATCGGCTCTTGATTTTCTACTTGATCATCCTCATTATCTCTTTCTCCACTCTTCTCTTCCTCAGATTCTTCACCTTCACCTTCCCCTTCATCTCCACTCTTCTCTCCCTTGTCTTCTTCTAAATCCCTATTTTCAACCTCCTCCTTTCTATTTCCTTTAACTTGGACATCCTCCTTCTCTTCCTCCATAACCTGGTCTTCAGAATCTTCACTTTCCTCTTGCTGCTCTTCCTGTTCCTCTTGAGGTTCATCAAACCCACTCTGGTCGCTATCTTCCTCAATAGCTTTTCTGTACTCCTCTTCATCACTTTCTTCCTCAAATTTCATCTTGGGCCGATCATAACCTTCAGCTTGCTCCTCTTGTTCATCAGCTTGGTGGACGACATTCTCGATTTCGTCGAGAAAGTCCATGAATTCAAGCCCAAGCCCCATTTCTGCATCAAGTCTTCTTTTTACGCGCTTAGCTTCCTTGGGGTTTCCTTTTATGCCAAGGAGTTTTTCAAGGCGCTGGATTTCTTTCTAAATTTTAAGCTGGGAAAGTACCTTATCAGACTCTAGTTCTGATTCTTTCGGGATTGTGTTAGCTTCAAGCATTTGGAAACCTTTCTTTCTATAGTGAGTTAGATATGGTGATGAAGAGTTTTACTGCTTTTTCTGGGAAGTTTTATGTGCAGGCTTCTGAGCGACAACATCTTCAGAGCTATCAGAATCAATAATCTCGTCAGATTTAATTTCTTCATCATCTGATACTTGAATAGACTCTTTTGCATTGGTCTCAGCTTCCTTCTGCTTCTGTAAAGACTTGATATCTCTCTTCTTTTGTTGAGATTTAGCTTTGATCTCCTTCTTAAATGTCTGCTTATCTTTACTCTTATTTTTATTTTTATTCTTGTTCATTTGCTTTTTCTTCTGCTTCTCCTTTCGTTCCCTTTCAAACTTCTTCTGTTTCTCTACTTGCTTCTTAATCGCAACATGACGTCTAAACTTAAGCTTGGTAGCTTACCTTGAGAAGTAGTCTGCTTTTATTGCCTTTTTCTGTTTCCTTTCCATTCTTCTTTTATTCTTCCTATCAAATATGCCGTTTCCACCAGGTGGCTTTCCTTGGGACTTGACTCTGGTAGACTCTAGAGATGATTAAGCTGGTTTACTCTGAGATTTCGCTCTAAAGAGGGTGAGAAATTGGGGAATACCTTTCCATCGTGTTTATTAATTATTTCAATTTATCTACGAAGAAGGGGTTTTGGGGTTTTGGGGTTTTGGGGTTTTGGGG